GCCACATTGGATTGCGTCATGCGTTTTAATGATTGCGCAAAAAGCGCTTCAAGCTCCTTAGAGCGGAGTACGTCGTGCGGGGCACGATCACTGATAGACGTCGGACGCAGAAGCCAATGCAGCCAAGTGTTCATGTGCAGGAACTCGGCAGGATTCATTCCAAATTTCACCACCGGCCCTTTTTCTTTCATAAGAAGAAACAGTGCCTGAACGCGACCATACAAAATCGGCGAGGGCGCAAGAACGCGCATGCAAGGCATAACAACATGAATAAGGTACCGTTCTGCCAAACCCAGCGCGTTCCGGCATGCCACACCATAGTTTTTGTCTTCTGCATGCTTATTCATAGCCGTGTATTGACCCTCCTGCTCCTCATGTACAAAGTGTAGGAGCTGGCCGCACTCCCTGGTGATGACCTCCACCAGACAGCAAAGAAATGCTTGTGACGCCACGTAGGCGTAAATCGTCGACAGGAGCGGAAAGTAAGTTTCGAGGGCTCGCAGTGTGGCAGAAAATGCATACCGCCTCAACGTGCTTTTATTATTATTGTTGTTGTTTTCTTCATCTTTTTCCTTCTCTTCCTCTTTGTTGGAAAGGAAGGCCTGAACATGCTGTAGGACTTTCCTAGGGATGCTGCCAACACCTGGCAAGGCTACTGATGGCACTAGACACACATTCATTCCCATCTCCGTTCTCATCTGCGTGATGGTCTCCGCCATGAGACCCGGAAGCCCAATCTCACACAAATCTAATACAAATCGACAGGGCGTCACGCTCTGTGCAAAGGTCGTCTGCTTCACAAACGCACCTGTCGCACCAACAGGCGTCCTGCTTGAAGTCGCCATTGCTGATAATGCATTTGTCATCTGTGCCGAAGTCGACGACGATGACGCCATCTTTTGTTGTGGCTCCTGTTGGCTTTGCCTCCGCGAGGTACTGGCCCCATGTTGGACAGGAAACAGGGAACACCATCTTTGCAAACCGCGGGCCAGTCAACTCTCCGTTTACCGGAATGAGTTCTTCTTCATTGGATTTTCCACTGTTCACTGCATGTGCATTGTGGCGGTGACGCCGACGTGTGGTGCCCGCATCCACTGCAGAGAAAATAAGTTCACAATGTGCTTTTTGCACATAGTCGTCGACGGCCGCCGTGAGTGATGCAATGCCCTCCCCAGGGAATACGGTTGCTGCCTCCTCCAACACGCCTTGGGGAAACTGCAAGGGTGCAAAGTGATAAATGGCGAGTGCAACACGCAACGAGCAGACTTCTGTCAAGTACAAATAAATGGCTAGCTTTTGTCGCCCTTCCGTGTGGTGCGTTGGGGAAAGCCCAATACATAGCTGCATACAGAAAGCAAAATGATGCACCCCAAGAAGCGATCGGATGTGTAGACGTTCAAGCAACCTGCCGATAGGTGGAAAGTTTGTCTGGCGCCATTGCGCTTCGGTTTGCCACGCCGTATCTGGGCGCGTTAAATGCCATCTCGCTGTCTCTGCACCCCGAGCCCCTCGAGTTGAGAGAATGTACGTGGAGCTCAGTACCGCTCCAATGGCGGTGCTTAATAAGAAGGCATGCACCTGACCTTCACCAAGAAGCTCTCCCATCTGCTCACTGTATCGCCCCACGATGTCCTCTTCCTCATTTGCCTCTCCGTCGTTGCATTTTTCCTTTTTGTACCTCATCCAGTCTGACATAAAAGCGTGCAGGGTATGCAGCAGCTGGTACGTTGTACCAGGGGCTTGCGCGACGAGGTGTGGACAAAACGACTTGCACAGAATCGCTGTGCGCCGAAACCGCGTCCTGGCAATTGTGGCGTTGAATGTCTCCTCCGACACCGCTCCCCACGCAGCCATACCAATCCTCTCTTCCTCCCTGGAGCCATCTTCGCCACTCATGTGGTCTTCTGTCCCGTGAGAATTTTCCTTTTTGATGTCGCATTTCTTGTGCTGCGCTGCACACGCTCGGAAGAACTGCCGCCACGCCGTAAAGTCCCCGCCCCTCGCCGACAATTGTTGGAGAAATACACACAGAAAGCAGAACCACAATGCGTGTAATTCCTGCAGCAAATCGTCCTCCTCCCCAGCTCCCCCGCTCGTACTTTTCATACTGTCATCATCCTCATCATTATTGTTAGTATCAATATCATCATTATTATTCGTCTCCACACACGCCACTCGCAGACGTTGCGAGAAGAATGCGCTAGCAATCGCCACTGCAGCTGTCTTCACTCCCACCGGAAGCTGTGACGATCCAACATTCGCCGAGGCGACAACCGTGTAGCAATGCAGTATTGTCACGACACGCAAAAAGAAGGTCTCCAGTGGCGCGGGCGTTGGGTCCGCAAGAAAAGAATTCACCGAGCGACGCACACACGCAAGAGTCTCTAACCGGCTCGCGTTTTCGGGAACACCGGTGATTTCGACAAGCGAGGCCTCAAATGCTGCCGCCAGGTCTCGCCCTCTACTCTTCCATGTGCCGTTCACCGTATCTTCAGCGTAGAGAAGCGCAATGAGTGTCTCCTCCACACGCTCGTGCAATTGCATGTATACACGGAAAGGAGTACAATGTATTAAAAGAAAAATACAAATAAGTGATGCCTTCAATACGCCCTTCCTGAGTTACTTGCGCCGCATCCAATGGGAGATACGAGGCCCACAGAGAGCCGTGCATAAAAAGAAAAAGGTAGGGGTGAAATTCACAGGGGACGCGACATCAACAAAAGGACACCGTTAAAAGAAATAATAACAACAACAACAGCAGCAAGAACACAGGCCAAAGATCCATCACCCTCGCCATTGTTGCTGAAAGGGAAATGTGATGGAAGACGCATAAAGCAAAAGTGACGAAACGGAAACACATACACACACACACAGTCACACACAGAGGCAGCAACGCCGTCGCACACATTCAACACCCTTCGTCCGTACTCAAACGCTCCGGCTGTCATTCTTCTTGCTGGCGTCTCTTTCCTACAATGGCCGTTCAGTAATTCTTTTTCTCCATGCTGTTGGATATGTAATTGTCTTCCCTCGTCCTGTTTACTCAAGGCCTCACGTATCGCGTTAGTGATTCATGAAATGTCTGTAATTAATTATATGTGGGGCTGCAAGAAAAAACCCCCTAATCCATCTTTTTGCCTCCTCGGCGGCCATCCAGCATGCCGCATTGAAACTCTACTGAAACAGTGATTTCACCATCACTTCATGTTGTCCGCTCAGCACATACGGCACAGGCAATAAAAATCCCACTAACTTCGGCCGGGGCTCGTAGCAGACTGCCTTGCCTTTGGTTAGTCGATGAAAACCACGCTTGGCAGGTACGTCGTTTGATTTCAGACTGCGTTGTATCTCCTGAAGCTGCTGCTCCAGCTTCGCCACCCCACCACGCTTCACCACTTCACGAAGAAACTCGGCATCGTCATAGATTTCCTCGTCCATGTCTCCCTCCGAAATGTGCAGAGCACGTGCCGCCTTTCCTTCAGCAGTTTGAGACATTTTGTAGTGCTCAGGGTGACCCAAAATTGTCACATGCGATCTGTTTTTCTGCACTTTGGTTCGCAGCCGCGTCTTGCTCTTAAGCACAGAGTGTATTTGTTGCAGTAAAGGCTGTGATACGGTGCGAAGCTTCGCACTGTTAGGTTGCACAAGTTTTTGCCCCCCAATACTCGACACAGGCGTCAACGTCGCGCATCATACGCCTGTGAGAAGTGTTGATGTCTTTGAAACTCAATAGGACACCCTCTTTCTGCTTCACTTGCTTGTCATCTGAGGTAAGATGATAAAAAACCCCAATAAGTTCCCGCAGGCGCCGCACAACTTCTTCCGTGCCTTGCCTTATCTGTGCCTCATCCGAATTTAAGTAGTCAGGGAGGGAATAATACTGCGGAAATGCCACCGCACGTGCGATGGATGGTTGAAGCTTAATGCGCACACGAAGAAGCTGCGAGTAAACCATCACGTAATGCCTCAGCGCGGCCTGTGCACGCCGTCGCTGCTTTGCGCGCGGATCCTCGCTGTCATCTTCACCTTCTTGCACCTCCTTTGCCACGACTTCCATCTGCGCGTTCCGCAAAGACTCGAGCTGTTCGAGGATGCCATCTTCGTCTCCACCGGCAATATCGTGTCGCCTAGCCCGCTTCTTCGCCTGCTGCGCCTCAAGCCACGCGATGTATGCTTCCTCGGTCTCTGGCTTGCCACCCACACGCTTTCTCTTCTTCCCAAGAGAGTTGTCCTTTATGGCAGTAGAGGCGACGGCGGCAGATGATTCATCATCTTCATTGATTTTGTCTCCGCCTGCTCCGTCCTTGTAAAAATCCAAAAAATTCATCTCATCCTCATCTCCGTCGTTCATCTCAAGAGCACCGAAGATATCATCCATCGCGGCCTCAACATCTACTGGCGTGGCGGCGTACGCCCCTGTCGACAGGGAGGCGTCCAATGGACCGCGGCGTCGCAGTTGTTTTCGTTCTTGTTGTGGTCGAGACGTTGGTTCTCGTAGACGGCGTTCGGTCCCGCTTCTCCTTTTCACCGATCCCACCACGTCATCGTCATCGTCGTGTTCATCCCCCTCGTGGTAGTCATCAATTTTGGGGTTGTCACCACCGAATTCGTCCCATGCATCCACCTCGTAACGCTCTGCGTCTCCACCGCCTATTTGTTCGTTTACGATGTCACTTATGGACATCTTTTTCCTCCGTCCCGAGAGGCTCCGAGACACCGACATGACTCACGCCCTACCCAGCTCCAATTCTCCTCGTCTAAATGCGTGGTGCCTTTTTAAATTATTTTTAACAAGACCCGCTTCCCCGCAATTCTCAAAGAGCAAAAGAAAAAAACAAAAAACAAAAAAGAGAAACAAAACAATAAAATACAGCGATGGATGTATCAATTGTCTTCACACGCATGCCATTTCACTTCAATGAGCTTCTCAGCGTGTTGGCTCTTTTTTTTCCTTTTCATTTTCAGTGTTGTTACCTTCTTTATTCCTCTTCGTTGTTGTGTTAAACGCCCAATTCAAGGAGCTCCTCCTCCAGCGTCGTTGCCCGACCGCCATTTCGTTTCCTTCTGGCTTTTGCGGCCTCCTGCCACCCCAAAAGGGTCGGGGGCGCCATCGTGAAAGTCTTCCCTCCATCCTTTTTTCCCTCTTCTCCCTCCGTTCGTTCTTCAGCCTCATCCTGGCCGCTATCGTCTCTCTGCTCTTGGGACGCTGTCGCTGCGTGACCTTCACGCTTCAGCGTCGCGCGCAGCGCACACTTCTCCGGCGTGTACTTTTCACGCATCCGCCGCGTGTCAGGCATTTGCCGCAGCCGCGCTGGCACCGTTTCCAGAACACCGCGTTCTTTCAGTTCCTTGTACAAATAGAGACGACGATTGTTGAGGCTGTAGCACCGACCCGCCTTGTCTGTCAGGACACACAGCAGCGGCAGATCGTTGGGTGCCACTTCACAACGAAGAAACTGATCGAGTGTGCTGGCAATTGTGCGGCCACATGAAAACGTGGGACGAATACGAGAAAAGGTAAAGTAAACGGTGGCAGGGTCTATTTCCACAATCACGTCGTCCTTCACTTTCGCCGGCATAGCAATTCCGTCCCTTCTTCCTCCCCCGAGCAGTAAAGGCCTAAATTATTATATCCTAATTGAAGTCAACGGAGCTGTATTGATCTATACCTCCTATTATTCGTACACAAAGCTGCTACTGTGCATCGACGACTGAGAGACAAGTAATATTATAGACACACGCACCAACTCGTCTTTTCTTCTCTTCTTACCCTCTTTGGTTCCTTTTTGAACAAATATAATCGTCATGTATATGTGTTTGCGTGCATGGGTGCGTCAAGAACATCCATTCAATGAAAGTCCAAACACCCTCATTCCAAAAAAAAAAAAAAAAGAAAAAAAAGAGTTATTGGATAAAAAAAAAAAAAAGATACATTTCACTCAAAAGGCACGACGGCAAAGCTTTGCTTGCAATATATATGTGTTGGATCTCCTCGATAATCTTATTTTACTTTCTGGTCGTCTTCGCTCATTATTTCCCCACTTTTTACGTATGCCCTAGCGGCACTGCATGCTCTTTTCCTCGTCGTCACTCTCCCCGTCACATGCAGGATGCAGTGTGTGTCAAAATGGATGGGACGGCAAAGTATGGGTTTTCGCGGTGCCACTTGCTTTGTGCCTGCATCCGCAGATCATGAGAGACAATCCCAGGCATGCCTTCCTCTTCATCCTCGCCACCCGCACTATCATCATGCTCACTCCCGGCCACGACGGCCTCCAACATTTTCTCCTCCACGGCACCATCGCGCTTTGACGCATCCTCGCCCACATCTTTTTTGGGAGTCTCATCTGACTCTTGCGGCTCCCTCGTCGTTTCCTTCTGAACAGGCAGAAAGACAAATTCACCAAAGTGAAGATTCTTGTCCGTCACTACACCCGCAGACGGTGTCTTCGTGCCTGGCGGCACGTACACCGACTGCGCAAAGGAACAGATGCGTTCCCCCTTTGCGGTTACATCCCCGGGCACCACAGTGGGTGTCGCACGTAGCGGTGGGTAAATAACAGTCGTCGCCATTTGTAGCTGCTTTTCATAATCCATGAGACACCCCGAGCTTCCCCTCGTAGTCCCAACAGCAACCAAAAAATTACTTTCCTCACACAACTCAGCGTCTTTCTCAAGAGACATTGGAGAAGGAAAAAGATTATAGTACGCATCGCGAAAATACACCTCCTCCAAGTCCAACACCCGCTCCGTCGCCGTTGTATTCATGCCATCTAGAGAGGGTGCCGTTGCATTATCCGCAGCCACGTCTTCTTCTGCCACATCCTCCAGGTTTACCGGCAATGCGGGTACCAACTCGCGTTTTAACGATAAGAAACGCACGTCACGGAGACGTCGGACATCCATTGTAGCCACACGACGATCGTCAAGAAGACTCAGCCTTGAAAAGCTGTCAACGAAGCGTACAAAGACGTCCGTATTTGTGTGTGTGCAAACTGTTTCTTCTGGAATTTCCCCCACCACACGTAGCTGTCTTAGGGGATGCGGCACGATATCCGGTAGCGGCGTTGGCACCGTAAAGAGTGATGGGAGTGCGGGGAGTTGTCGCACCTCGCCTACCCCGATAACAGTTGTTGTGGATAACCGCCCACTACGTGCCGCTCCACCTCGATCTTTTGTTTTTCGCACCGGTGGGTACGCTTGACCCCAAATTCGCTCTGCCGCGATCTCTTTGGCGAGAGGTATTGCCGAGCCACTCAGCTCTTGAACGTATGAGAGTAGAATCAAATCGTAAATTTCTGTTAGGCAGTGTTGCACCACGGCAGAGAGCCGCGCCTCCCCAACCCCATTGATCTCCACAAAGCAGGAGGAGTCATAGAGTTGTGGTTCAAGACCCCAGAGGGTGACGTGCAGTTCCCCAATAAGAGCTTCCACTACGTCGGCCTTTATCTTCCCTGTGCCCAACTTCTCTCGTACACCAATAGGCAGCAGTTCACTGACGTGAAGGGTGTCAAACATAAACTCCAGGGTCACATTCATTTCACAGGCATCTCGGAAACAATTAAAGGAGTAGGCATTCTGACTGTACGCCCACTGCCTATCGGGGAAGAGGACCATCATTCGATTGGAGAGATGGTTTCCCCAAGAATTATCTCCAATATACTCCAGTCGCTCAAAAGCCACACGACGACGGTGGTGCATCTGTTGCGAGACAGCATCAAAGGTGTCAGGGGCTTGAGCTGCGAGTGAAAGATCAAGAACATTCAATTTCTTAAGCAAGGACAACAGCTTGGCTAGGACTTCGCTGCGCTGGTTCACACTCCATCGTGGTGATACAAGCTCCGGAATACGCTGGAACATGGACTCACGGTAAAGGATGTCTGACCAAACGAGGTAGATATCATCAATCGGATAGCCCCGTATGGCCAGTAACGCCAAACTATCCAACACCACTTCACGACAGGCATGATTGGTGTGGCTCGCGCGGTACGCCAGCACAACATGTGACTTCGGAGTCGTCTGTGACTCCTCCATACAGAGGCGGCAGTAATTCTTTGCCTCCTCCTTAAAGAAAAGCGCCTCTGCTGCGGCAACGGAGCGCAAAGAACGTAGCGGCTGTGCACCATTCTCTTTCGTTGCCGCCGGCGCCGTCGTGTCATCGGCCAAAAAGCTCACGTAGTTGGCAAGTACATCCCCAGTGCTGGCAGAGGATGACGATAACGATGACGATGGCGAGACACCGCTGTTCCCACTCCCGGCGGACGACGTAAAGCCAATCGTGACGCCACGGCGCGTGTAAGACTGCGAGTGCGCTACCTCAACCCGCTCAAGCGCTAAACGGAAAGTGGAAGTGCTAAAATGTCGGCACAGACGCCACGTCACCTGCCACTCGCTCCACAGCAGGCCACGAGAACGCACACATGACCCAGCCAGCCGCATTTTTCTCTTCCCCCCTCCTCCTCCTCTCTCTCTTTTTGCAGAAGCAAAATACCAACAAGAAAAAAGATAGGGTATGGACGGTCAGAGACACAATTCCTTTTCTTGTGCTCGATGGCGGCCCATTGCAGTGTGAGAAATGCATCAAAATAAAAAAAAAATGTAAAGAGAATGCAATAATAATAATAATAAAAATGCGCGTGAATGACGCCACATAACAAGGATGCCTATATATATATATATATATATATATATATAGTGAAGAATTCCCCAGTAAAACTTATGTGCATTTAGCATCATGACCAATTGCCCCATCTTCAAAACAAGGTTGAAGAACTGCAAACAAGAAAAACAAACAGTAACAAAACTGATAACCCTCCGGAGAAAACACGTTCAGTAACGTGAAGCCCTCAGTCCTCGTCGTCGTCGCTGTCAGCAAAAAAAGCATGCATGTCCTCCACAGTGCCGCTGGCATCTTTTGCTCCAACCAACTCCTCCTCTTCTTCTTCTTCTTTGCGCTCCTCTCCTTCCTCATCTTCTTCCCCTCCGGATGCCGCCTTCCCGTCCGCATCTATCGGCATACCCGTGACGCCACTCGTCCAGTGACTAGAAGAAATTGACAGCACGCCGCCTGCGGTGTAGTTTTCGCCGACCCCCGTGTCGTCATGGGCTTTGTGCATTTTACCGTTGGGGTCGGCTTCCACCGCCAGTCCACGGTACAGCTCATTAAACTTAAAAAACACATCGGCGCGGTTCTCAAGCCTGGGCACAAAAGACGTCAAAAATGGATACGGCAGCTCCGCTGGACGGGGACGCAATGACATACAATAAGTGCAGCGCACAACTGCATTTTGTTCCTTGGTGCTGAGGTCCACCCTCACGGTGTTCTTCATGCAACACACGGGACAGTCAAATTTGGTTAGGCAATGCAGTGAGCGCTGGTGCCTTGAGGCTGCCGCATAGTGCAGATTTCTCTTCCTCTTGTCACTCTCCTTCTTGGCGTCCTTCTGCATTTTCTCCTTCAGAAAAAAACGGCTATGACGCGACAGACGCGGTGCCGTAGATGAGGCACCGCCACCGTTTCCTTCTTCTGTTGACGGCATATCGGTGAGGTCACCAAATAAAGTCCAGGGCGACGAGACACAAAGATGGACTTCCCTGACAACAATTCCCCTTCTTCAGCTACGTTTCTATGCTCTACCCTTCCCTTGGCACCAACGCACAGAAAAAAGACACGCGGGCAGGAATATTTGAAAAAGAGAGTAAAAGATGAGTCGCACCTCCCTTAAACAGCACCAACAACTCATGACAGAACCAACGGGTGGGAGGCAGCAAAAAAAACAAAAAACACACACACAGCGACACCAAAAACTCTTTCCGTTAACATGCGGGGACTTTACGGATGCAGTCCGGAGGCAACAAATTCAACGTAAACACAACCGGCCTTTATCCTTCCATTAGGGGGGGGGGGGAGGCGCATCTGTGCGTGAGGTACTCTGCCTCCTCGATCCTTGCGCATCACGTAGAGTGATGAAGAGAACACCGGGTAAAATCATTTCGTCAGCGTCCGACGCAAAACAAAAAAGATCCCAACACCACAAGAACAGCATTCTCAACAATAAAAGGTAGCAAGGCTACCGTTCTCCCCATATATATGTATAGATATTTCTCAATTGGTGTCCAGAAGGTTCTTTACGATTATCATCTTGCTAAAGCCATCGTACCTCAATAATCGCAAAGGCAACAACAACAACAGGCAACACAACCATACACAATAACTAACAGCTACTAATTTGTATAATATGCCCTCCTCTCGGTTTACTTAAAGCGCAATACCTCCTTCTACATCTTCTCCATACTCCGCGGATGCTTCCTCCGGTGCGAAGAAGTGCAAGCCATTCTCCTCATCCTCTTCCTCCTCCTCAAGCTCGATACGATGCATTGCGGCCACGTCCCCACTCCGTGACGTCGACGCTGCCCCCGTCACTGCTGTCGTACGTGCCGCTCCTTTCGGCATAAACTGGACAAGACCTGTTTTCGCTGTTGTCGTGTTGGTATCAATTTGATGTTCTTCCAGAAAATCGCGGTCCTGCCGCATAAGCTCCTCGCGAAAGCGGAAGAAGACATCAACAGGCTTTTCAAGCGGAAGAAACGGAAACTCCTTTCCGGCCCCGGCGCGACAGGAACGGCAATGCAGTCTGGCAGAGCCACTACTCCGCACGAGTCGCACGGCAATGGAGTTCTTTGCGTCGCAGAGCGGGCAATCAAAACGCGCCGGTATTTTGTACTTGCTCTCCTTCTTGATGGGGACGGCGGTCTTCTTCTTTTTCCCTCCCATGAGTTCGACAACAAGACCTATTCACAAATATGACTGTACTGCCCACGGACCAGAAAACAACAATTAGCTGCCTGTTATAACAAAAAAAGAAAGCGGCCTACAACAATAACAGAGGCAAACACACACACACACACACACGC